CTTACACATATGTTAAGATATTTTAAGTTTATGTATTTAATATGTCCCGATATACTTTTTTAAGCATTTGATATTCCTGTTGGGCCTACATCATGATATGTCTCATACTTACATATATACTGTACACGTTATACATGTACCGTTCTATAGAATTCTCGATATACTTGTAAACTTGTATTACATAAACCTAAAATCTACATTTTCTCTGTCCTATTAGTCCTGTTGCTCCTAAAATCTACATTTTCTCTGTCCTATTAGTCCTGCTCTTCCTAAAATCTACATTTTCTCTGACCTATTAGTCCTGCTGTTCCTAAAATCTACATTTTTTCTGTCCTATTAGTCCTGCTGTTCCTAAAATCTACGCTTTCTCTGTCCTATTAGTCCTGCTGTTCCTAAAATCTATGTTTTCTCTGTCTTATTAGTCATGCTCTTCCTAAAATCTACGCTTTCTCTGTCCTATTAGTCCTGTTGTTCCTAAAATCTATGTTTTCTCTGTCCTATTAGTCCTGCTGTTCCTAAAATCTATGTTTTCTCTGTCCTATTAGTCCTGCTGTTCCTAAAATCTATGTTTTCTCTGTCCTATTAGTCCTGCTGTTCCTAAAATCTATGTTTTCTCTGTCCTATTAGTCCTGTTTTCCTAAAATCTATGTTTTCTTCTCTATTAGTCCTAAAATTGTCTGTTATTCCTGTTATTTGTGCTCATATCTAAAATTCTGAAATCCCTATTAGTCCTGCTATAAAATAATAAAACTAAATTTTCTCTGTCCTATTAGTCCTGCTCTTCCTAAAATCTACGCTTTCTCTGTCCTATTAGTCCTGCTGTTCCTAAAATCTATGTTTTCTCTGTGCTATTAATCCTGTTTTCCCTAAAATCTATGTTTTTTCTCTGTCCTAGTTGTCTGTTATTCCTGTTATTTGTGCTCATATCTAAAATTCTGAAATCCCTGTGCAGATATAAAATAATAAAACTCTTTTCACCTTTCATGGATTTATATATCAATAGATCCCAATAGATCAATACAAAAGGAACTTCCGTTTCCGGTGTCACTTAACCCCCCCACCTAACAAATTAAAATCGTCCTCTTTTCTTCTTTGTCTAAACGCGCCCAGGTATCACGCCTTTACGCCTAACTGCGTCTTCCCTGCTTTCCTGGTAGCCTATCCCTCGGTCACCAGTATACACATCGAAGGTATCTCAGACCTCCATAATCAGCTAGTTATGGAAGAAGTTTCCTTTTCTTTTGCATAATCTCTTTTTTTTTCTCTGCACTACATGTATTATAGCACATACAAAGAAGTTACCTTTTTACCGGGTATCAATCAATATCGTTGAATTGTTAAAATAACAAAAAAGAAAAATGAAAATGGGATTTTCAGCCATAACAAAACAGGTATATATGCTTTTCGCAGTCGATATATGTGATGTAATCAGTTCCCGGTCAATAACCGTCGTTCAGACATACTGAGGTTGGAGTTTGAATGGTTATACTGTACGTCCGGGGTTTTATTCCGAAAATTTATTGAAATATTTGTAAGTTTTATTCAACACTTAACCACTTTGTAATACATAATACTTCGTTATGGATGGAAACAGTAATTTTATTTTGGTAATTTTGGCTTGTTTGTTTAATATTGTGGACACTAAGCTATGATCATAGATGGGTTTTTCCAATAGTATCGTTGATGAAACGAGATCTCAGGTTTTGAAATTCAGAACAAATATATATATATATATATATATGTTCGTCCTCAAATTCAGAGAGGAGTTACACTCTTTACAACATCTACGGTTCTCTATGTGAGTTTCTATACCTTTTCTACGTATTCATGTATATTTATTTATTCATACATACCAACTATCTACAACATTTAGATAAAGTCAGGACCTTATATATCTATATATACGTCCCTGATAATATATAGGTATGTAAATGTCTCGATTGGAATATTCGCATTTCAGTATCAGTATCAGTTTCTTTTATCGTAACCTCAGATCTTATACATAACATATAATGATGTCGAACAAATGTATATAACACGACGTAGTTAACATGCTATACAATAGGAGTAGGAATTGAATCAATATTACAGATGTGATACCAAAGGCCATTGGAAATAAAAGGTTGAGTATGTATATCACAGCCTGGGTTTGGTCCTATACATAGAATGTACAGGTAACATGATTATAAGGTGCTGTACGAGTTATCTCCCTTAAACAGGCAAAATTGCCGCGGTAATGGGAAATCAGTATAGCGGATAGGGTGTAGATATATATGTATCGAACCTTGAAGTAATATTTGCATTTACAAAGGCAAAATATAAAAGATACAACTTTTGGAAACTCTCTCTCCATAATTCAATTACCAGTGAGGTGAATCCACCAATTTGCAAAATCATACAATTTTTATATCAGGTCAACAAAATATCACCCACCAAATTTAGGATGATGTATGTATATTTACAAACGAGGTCTACTTACCAGCTGTTTCCTTTCACAGTACACCCACTGGGCGGCTTACCCAATAGAAATGACAAGTATTCTAGTACTTTCATTTTCAGAAGCTGAACTATTCAATACACACCACGAGATTTATCTATGAAAAACAAATACTCGAAAAAACCCATAAAATGGAATATTGTATACAATTTTTTTTACTTTACGATACATCGATTTTTTATTGTAGATATTCCAACAAACTATTTACATGTATAAATGTCAACTCAAATTTTCACCGTAGACATTTGTAATAACTGGAGATCACCAACAAGAGTAAAATCGTGCGTATGTAAACATTTCACGGCCTTCACCGGATAAAGGAAGTCGCGAAAGTCCGTGAAAATGTCCACACTGGCTTAGTTCAACAGGAAAACAACATTTTAATAATAAACTCACCACGTGACCATCGTCAAAGCTGTGTCATTTTAATTTTCTATATACTCTTTATTCATTTATTATTACAAGTAGACATTTTGAAACGTGTCTCTTTTCAGTATCATAACACAAATTGGTTAATACTCTCTAAAGGAGGGACAATAACTTCGGGTAAATAAAGTGTGGGGTCATGATTTATGGCGGGGGGTCGGGCAGCAACTGAGGGTGTGTATGTGGTGGGTTTGGGGGTCAGGACATCAGTGTAGGAGAGGTTTAAGGAGTTTAGGAGAGTTGTAAGGAGTGTAGGAGGGGGTAAGGAATGTAGGAGGAGGTAAGGAGTGTAGGTGAGGGGTAAGGAGTGTAGGAGAGGTGTAAGGAGTGTAGGAGGGGGTAAGGAATGTAGGAGGAGGTAAGGAGTGTAGGTGAGGGGTAAGGAGTGTAGGAGAGGGGTAAGGAGTGTAGGTAGTCTCCGTATATAAGGGGTCTCCGTGTGAAGGGCAAGACCCAAGATAACATTTGTACAGATGATGTAAAAAAAAAATCATATTCCAATTACTTTATAAATACTTACGAAATAGTTATGGTTTACACGTCTGACAAGAAAACAGGGATTTCCCGTAGTTTTCACACACGTCCATAGATTTCACTCATCAATACCTGGCAAATGGTGGACTCGCCTTTCATTGGCTAGTCACAGTGAGTATTCGTAACGCCTTGAGCACGTGCAGGTAGAGCGACGCTCGACGGAAGTCAATTCCACCGCGCGCTGTCAGAAAATATTTTACAAATCATATACGCGGTATCATACAAGATAAACAAGCAAGATGCGATAAAACATATACAAGATGTTCATGTAAGACAACTAATATTTATTTTTAGAAGTACACATTTTAAATATTTTTGTCATTTATTTCTTTTACTGTAGTTAATCGTCAAGATAACCGCCAGGGTCATTGCTACGCTACTCTCAAAAAATTCTCGTATATGTAAGGATACATAGGACCGACGGAAATACGCTGCCGTTTACAGGGGTGGCCGGTTTATTTAGGTTAAAATATAAAGTTTAACGACAAACAGATAATCTGTCAGAGTTGGAATAAGGCAGATGATCACTGTTAGTCCGTTTTACTCATGATTTGATTTTTTGATGAAAATTTTCAGATAAATCGTGGAAACTTCCGTCAATATCTACTAATAATGTTCCTCTTAAAAAATGTCATTGGTAATTGCTAATTAGAGTTAATTTATTTGGATTAAAAATTTATTTGCCTGTCAAAGGGATCTCGGACGTTCACTTTCCTTTAAACGGCCCAACGATTTGCCAAAAAAGTCCTAATAACAGAGTGAGGGGAGGGGGGAGGGGGAGCAGCGAGGAGAACCTGGGAATACGGGGACGGGAACTAGGATGGAGCCCGGCAGTAAAGAGAGGGAGGGGTTGGGGGTTAGAAACAAGGAGTTAAGGGTCGGGAATATGTTCCGTGATTCACATTATCAGTTACGGGACTAGCAGTCAATATTTTGAAAATTAAAGGATATTTCTGTTGAAGAATAACTGTCATTTTTGTCTATGTAATTGTTAACGAATGGATTACCGTTACTGTCAGTGCGGACATCCTCTTGGAGACACTTACAGTCACTTCTTCGCTTGTAATAATTATGCTGACCAGAAAGTAATTCTATACCGAGAAATAAATGATTTTATCCCACTAGACCTGCAGTTACTATTACATGGTAGTGATATCTACTCGAATGAAGATAAAGTAAAAATATGTAAAATCACTCAGCAATTTATACTTCAATCTAACAGATTTTGATATATATATATATATGTGTAATTTTGTATTTAAACAAGTTGTTTTGTCCTCATATTATGTATTTTGTCACACTTTATAGAGAAAATACGTTGGAACACTTGTGCCCAGTCCAATTAAAATTGTTTACTAAAATAAGTTTAGGTAAGAAAACAAATAGAAAATTAACTGATAGAAGGCGTGACGCCATTGTGTAGGCTACGACTAAAAACTTACAAGAGAAAAATAATAGTGCGGTACAGATTGACCTCCCTTTGCACAGCTCTTCGACGTATATACACTACTGACAAAAGCTCATCAACATAGACAAACTTGTGCCACAGTGTAAAATGTAAACAGAAAGAGTGAGATGTGAAATACATCGCAGGTAAGTGGACTTTACGGTTTCATACTTTAATCCTGGTTTTATATAGTACGATAAATCATGTCGTAATCTCTATTGTCTTCGGACTTTGGTGGAAAAAGTGAATCATTGTGAAACGGTTGACTGGAAACCAAAGTCAAAGATGCCCGAACTTGAATGATCATGAATAATTTACGGAGATGGATAGGTCGTAGCCTAACAATCTAAACGGTATTTTTAAATGCAGGATGTTTGTCAATATATCAATTGAAATCGTCAGAATTTTATGTGAATATATTTCGTCGAGTATGTATAATTATAAATGAGAAGTCTAGCTTTTAAATGAGAGTCCTTTTTGACGTTAATTTGGTGTAGCTGCTTTAATTGGATGTCGCTATGATTTCGTCTTGATAAAAATATATGAACTTTGATGAAATTCGACATCAGAAAATAGTGACTTGGCCAAAACCCCAAAGCGGAATGTTATGTCTTGGCCTCATGCTATCATATGGGCATAAAATTACGAGTTTCAGCATTTTATTCGTCACATGGTTTTCATTTTTAATCTTTTTTTTATGATAGGGAAAGTTCTCACATTATATGGGACCGTTTTTAATTTATATAATTCAAAACTGCTATGAATAATCATCTTTAGGTAATTAAAATAAAAGGTAAATGGTAATAATAAGTATAAAATAAAACATCCTTAGATTTTCTATGGTTAGTTTCAGTTGTAATAGTAAACCAAGGGTCCTGAGTATGAATCCTCGTGGCGGCATTAAAGTAAGAAATGTTCTCTGTAACACTGGCACCCATGTACGAACTGGGGAACAATACTTAGCATTACTTTCACAGGCATTGCTGTAACCCCAGGACAAGTTATTTACTGGAGGGGGAGTATGAAATTGGTAAAATACTAGCCACAACATATCACATTGCTAGAGACAACTTTTCTTTAACTGAGTCGAATGAGCGTTCGACTATTGCAGCAGAAGCATTGAAATAAGAAAGGACCTCTGTGTCACAGACAAACCGTGATGTATCCAATGTCTGCATATATGAATTATGACATTATGAATTATGGATGTTTTATCTTTTGTGTATGCTTAAATTTTTTTTTTTAATGTATCAGGGTTAACCTACAGTTATTTAGAACATAACATGAAGATTTTCAGAAATGGTGAAATGAAAGCTTATAATTTGAAACTACCTCGTATGATAAACATTCATTATCTGTACTGTATGCACATAGGTTCATGTGTGTTTGGAGGAAGGAAGTTTTATTGTGTACACAAAGTGTACCCAACATTCTGTTCAAGTACTTGAATCCTGATAATATTTCATATATCCTTTTGTGTATTGGTGGAGGTGACATCTCTAAAACTTGTTGATATGAATGACAGCAAATATTTAGCTTAGAAGATGTCCTCATTCATTTAGTGAGTAAAATTCTTTGGCACTAGTTGCCAGTCTTAAATTGCAAATATGAAAGTGGAAAGACAGATTCATGCAAAACTTACATACTTAAGTATTTTGATTATCTTTTAATTCATATGTATTGTCCTTAAGAAATTGAACATAATGACAAATGAGGTTTATGTCTGTATTTGTTTCTTTCATTTTATTGTGTGTGAATCACTCCTACATATTGACATTCTTCATTTTTGAAGACTAAAATAAATCATGGATAAATTATAAGACATGTCATGGATACATCAATCTGCATAGTTAAATATTCTTTTATACAAATGCATAGACCCATTAAAGTTACTGCAAGTAATTCAAAGCTGAAACTTTAGGTCAATTACAGACATTTGTATGATGCAAGGTGTTTTACTAATTGATTTTTTTTACATAGCAATACAAATGAAATGTTATTTCACCTGCAAATAACACATTCAAAGAAGTCAAATTCTAAATAACATTTTGTGCATGTTGTGCCATGCACCTTATTATCATTTAGCTATCCTTTATCATTTGCCTCTTCAATTTCATGACTTACAACAAATTGATTTGGTAATTTAGACCTTTCCAGTTATACATATTTAATGTGTATACATTATTTTTATATTCACCTACTTTGTGTGTTCTTGTGTGGAAACCTGTATGGGTTTTATCAGTATTAATTAACAGTTATGCTTATGAGGCGATTAGTGGATTAATTAAACAATTGACCTGGCTGATACTGTTTACAACATGCATTAGTGTTAATGAATGTATATGTTATGATTTGCTTATCTTCTGTTATATATTTATGACATACCTAGATATATTTAGTTTATACAAAAGAAAATGTTTTCAGAAGCTTGATTGCTGCATAAATATTTATCTATTTATTACAAATTCATGTTTTTTTCTTTATAGAATTATCATATTTTTGTGAACTCTTTTATTTACTTAAAACCATATATATGTGACTGGGAAAAATATGCAACTGATTTTTTTTTTTGATTTATTTATGAAATCTTAATTATTATAATAATTAACAAAAACTGAAAAGACATAAAATTATAAAAAGATAATACACTATGATTTGGAATCTGGTGAAATTGGTGTAATTTGAATAACTTCAAAATTTACGTTATGATTTTTTACCTGTATCAGTATTTTGGTATGTAGATATTTATTATTGATAAATGAATTGTTCAATCAAAATACTGATTAACATTTTCTTCCAGACTTCATGTGTGTACATGTTTGTGATTATTAGTTTCTAGGGGAACAATTAATTGTTCATAGGTTTAATTTAATTTCTAAATCTATTCTGTCATCAATGATGTATATATAACTATGTTAGAGACTATTGAACATTTTTTTGATATATGTTACTGAAAGATAGGAAGGTGTCTAATAATTTTAGAATATCTGCCTGCAAGCTAGCACTCAAAACATGAAAGTTAGTTTCAAAATATACTATCTTTCTTTTATAATACATACACCCCAGAGAACTACCGTAAAATGAGTTGTCTCCCTTGAATTGGTAAAAGATATCCTTACCAAAAAACAAGTCTATGGGAATAACTGGGCCAGTGATTTTATCTGGGATATAGGTTTCACAGTACAAATATATGCATTTATTCACCTATGCCAAATGCTTTATGGTTTTCCAATGGTTATTGATTTGTTACTATATCATCAGAAGTTTTTTACAGGAAAAAATGCAATTTTAACATACATTTTGGGGATAGTAAATTTGGTTTCCCAATCATTCCTCTAATAATATTTAATATACAAGATGCTGAGTTTTTTGTGTAATTTTGTATATTGAGAAAAATAGTGTATTAAAGTATCTTGATATACTTTTGCCAGAGGAACAGGAGATTTTGAATTTCTCAAAAGTTTGTTTATATAATGTTTGCTATAATGGTATATATAATATAAATAATATTTATAGAAATAAAATAATTGTTCTACTTCTAAGTAGAGCATGAGGAATCAGTTTTTGATATATAATGTAATACATCAGTTGATAATATCTTCCTCATTTTTTTTAATCACTCAGGAAGGAATATTCTGTGCTTAATATTTTGTCTATCGAAAATATTTTTCCAACAAAATGTGGTATGATAAATTTTGTAGCATATTTACCAGTTACTTTATGGATCACAAATATTTGAATTTCCTATGATATTATGCCCTGTTGAGTGACTAAATCGTTCGATAGATCTTCCACACTATTTGGGTGTAATGTATGCCTTTGTTTACACAGTTTTGCATGTGTATCAAGTTTGGTATATTAACACCTATGTGGTCAGCCGGTGTAGACTGACACAGTTACTGGTAATATGTAGAAGGTGCTGACAATAGTGCCAGGTGCTACATTGTTCAAGCTATCAATAATAGTTAGTTGTGTGTGTGGCTGTATTTCATTGTCAAATGAATAAAAGATAAACTTTGTAGTGGCTACATGTATATTAGGTTCCAGACCAATAAGCAGTGAAAAATAGGATTAGGGAAGGTTGGTCTCTATCATAAATATGTAACAGGGTAGCAGAAAGGCCCTGTTTATCTAAGGATCAGTTTGTGTATGTAAGTAAAGCTTTCACTCTACCAATATCTTGTATATTGGATCTTTATCAAAATAAATTAACAGGTTATTATATTGTAATGCTTGGAAAGACATTTACTGATAAGCACTTGAAAATTTTGAACTGGAATTTTAATTCATATTTGAAAGTTTGTTATTCATTTTCATTTCAGGCGAAGTCTTGTTAAACATGTGGATCAACAAGGAAAAAGATATGAAGCGAATTTGTAATTGAGTTGCAGAACTGACAGGTGATATTCATGCTCCAGTAGGGAAGCTCCATCGGTGCATTCAGTCATGTCATGGAAAGGGGCGACCCCTAGCACACAGTTTGGGGCTAGCAGTAACACAACTGGGACAGGCAGTAATGTCCCAGGTGAGTATTTGTACAACAGGTAGATAGTACATTGTCTGTTGTATTGTACCTATCATCCTCAATATCACAGTATATAACACACCTATGGTGGTGGTTAAAATATCTAACAATGCTTTCTATATAAATCTGTTGAGTGTCTTCTGATAGCAGAAACTCGTCACCTGGCATGTCAATAAACATCGTACACTTATACAATAGAGTCACGATCAGTATCACAAAAGAAAACAAACAAATGCAAGTGTATTGTTATCTGTAAGTTAGGCTTATTGATGGCTGTCAACGGCTCCAGGTGGTATCATACAAATAAATGTTATACGGTGTAGGTATCGGAGACGTGGTTCCACAGGGAGTTAAGTCTTTAATTGCCTGACAATAAACAAAAGGTGTATATGTTCCTGATCTATAGAACACAAGGTCATCGAAATGCAAATATTGAATGACGGAATAGAATCTACCCTTAGATATTATTACAGTCATATTTAAAGAGTTTGTGAGGGGATTTTTTTTCCATTCTTTTGAATTTGAATTTTTTCAATGACACCAGGATTAAGCTGAGGATTTAATTTGATGAGTCGTAGTGATATGACAGTTTGTGTACATGTTACGGTCTCGTGAATTAAGTAGAAACAGGACTGTCGTTCACTCTTCTGTTCCGACTCCTGATTGTTGGAATTTTTTGCGTTATTTACTTATGACCATTTTTCATACGCTGTGCACGGTTAATCGCAGATAATTGGGGCGGTAATACTTAGTTCTTGTTGGGATCAAACTGATCTTCTTTGGGTTTTAAATAGGAACTATTGTGTGTTGTCGATAGCACCGCGTCCATTTCATCCTTACCTTAGCTATAGAGGTATACTGAGGACAGTAGAATGGTAGGTATTTTTAACTATTGTCTTGTGTGGTAATACAATGATTTGTTGACATTGTTGATCTTGTCATTATTTACAGTATTGATATCAACATGTTCACCAGGTGCACATTACAAATCCACTGAATCTAGAATTTCTTTTATTCATGAGATTTAATTGTTTAAAAATTCCACTCTAGGTCACATATTTGTTTTGAGTTAACTACATGTACTAGCTGTATATGAACAATTGGAATTCATTACATGTATTTACTGACAAAAAATGCCAACAATTTTGACGAACCTTCAGAAGTGAAAATTATGGAATCATGTGATTTTAGGAGTGATTACTGTGTATAATTTTACGTAATGATGTCCAGTTCGTTAAAGAGAGCACGAAACTCGTGTCTGGAAGTGAGACAAGATGTCCAGAATTATTTATTATCTCTCGTTTCCACAGATTACCAGAAAATGCTCCAGCATCATATATTCTCATCAGGTATGTATATAAGTTTTATATTGTTATTGGAATATTTTTTTAAACATTTAAATTATTCAAACATTTGTTTTAAGTTGGTATTTGTGTGGAGACACAATAAAGATACTTATCAGCAAGTGGAACCTTTGAGGTCCTTATCTAGTACATAATTCAAATGTGATAGTTATATAAGTAACATTATTGATGGGTATGTAGATAATATAGGCAGTTTTACAGAGTAAGGTAATTGTCTATTTGGAAGTCCTTGCTGTGATGTCACAATATGTCAGTAACATTGTTTACCGACACCATTGTACATTAAAACCTGTGATACTGTCACTATTTTACATCGTCAAAAAACCTTGTCGTGATGTCACCTTTTATGTGACAAAGTTCTTGTGTAACGTTGAGGGTTAGTATGAAGGGAAAGATATGAAGGAATGATAAAGAAAAAAACAATAACTACAAAATGGGTTGGCAGTAAGCAAAGCTATAAGGGCTGCATGTGAGGTTCACACCAGCGGTCGTCAATGCCTCATTTTGCAATAAACGTTTTGATTAGAAATCATTAATTACTTTGTACAATTTATTGAAAGTGACCTGGTAGTTCATTCATCGGCTGTTATGTTTGGAATAAGATTCATCATCAGTCTGGTATAGATAAATTTCAGAATATGTTGATCTTTAAGATAAACTTCTTCTCATAAAGGGCTGTTATATGTTGGTGTAAGTTTATTGACATGTGAAATATAGCCAAGATCTACATATTATCCTTAACCATTTGTGTGGTCTATTTCCAATAATTGTGTGTTAATTTATTATTCATCACCCTGTGTCTGATATCTGTTGTGTAATTACCTCCTTACTGAGTGTACACCTACCAGACATTTACTTAGTAGACAGAACCAGTGGTATGCTATATATAACCTCACTAAACAGACACTTTATAATCAAGAACCTGTATAGAGTGAACTTTCATAAATCCACCCACTGTATATAATATAACCTTTGTGAAGTGAACTTTCAACAACATCTACACGCTGTATATACTGAGTTTATAATTCTGTGAGCTGCTTATGAAAACAACCTTTTTGGATTGAACTATAAATGAAATACACCCTCAGTATACTGTATATATTTATGACTATGTGAGTTGTGTAAAATAAACTTCTTAAACATTACATTCTCTTGGGTCTCTCCATTGTATATGTCTATGTTTATAATAATGTGAACCGAATTTTAAACTTTTAAATAAAAAAGGAAAAAATTGATTTTACGAAATTAGCATAATTAGGGAGATTAACCTATTTTATTGTTAACAGTGTTTAATCTACATAAAGATAGTGTGTACAAAACATATGCTAAGTTTCCATTTAAATATCCTCTGAATGGTTATCAAGTCGTTACAAAGCTATTAGCATCAACAGTGTAGTAATTATTACCAGCGGTTAAATATATAAATAAGTGGCTTTATATTCAAAATGGAAAATTTAGTACATGTACAAGATATTAACTCGTTGATGTTAAAACGTTAATAAAAGTTTGAAATGCTTTCAAAATTTCACATGTTTTCAAACAATGTAGACGTTATATGTAATGGTTGATATGTTTTCAAATATGAAAAGTTTTAACAAAGAACCATTCTGATGACATGTAAACATTTAATATACTCCAAACCCTGATTTATGAAAAAACTAGTTTCTAACAATCTTAGCTTTATGACGATAAGATGCATTAAAATACCTTGTAATACCATAGAGGAATTTTTTTTATGACAGATAGAATACAAAATGTAATTGTATTACACCAGAGAGATTGAGTGTAATCTAGGTAGAACCGAAAGGTTGGGCCAGTGTGATTTAGGTGTGAAGGTTGGATGGGTGTTATATAGGTGTTGAAGGAAATTTATCTAAGACTTCCAAGAGTACAGTGTAACTAGTTTAGGGATTAACACAATGCTATCAAGTACACTCAGTTTACTGTCGTTTTAACTCTATATAACTGAAATGGTTATGTTACACTGTTATTAAATTGTATTTACATGTTACATGCCTCAGTTAGTCCTTTTAAATCTTAATGTAAGGATAAAGTCAGCGATACGTGTTGTGGAGAGTCATGTGTGTGATTTAAATCAATTGAATGTAAATTTGAACTTCTACAGGTAATTACTATCATGCTACCATTGATAAAAAAATAAATTAGTGACTTCAAGTAAATGTAGAATTGAAATCCACAGTATAACATATGATTTTATGAACTAAAGTTAGATTTTATTTTTCAAATTTCAATTCACTACAATTTTACATGAAGTGTTATTATTGTGAGTTATATTAAAATTATTGTGTATATAGATTCCAGTGAGTTGGTCCTCAACTTCTCAAGCATCAGCACATCAGATTCCTTGTTATAGAATGTACAACAAAAACCGAGTTTAGACACATAGTAATGAATTTATATAACTATCACAAGTTAAAGATTTCATATTCCTATAATCTGATGTGTCGACTGGACATTGCATCACCCTGAAATTCTAAAAATGTTAATTTACGTTGTCAAGTAAAAAAAAAACACAGTAACATTAGTTTGGGAAATTCAATCTGATTAGAAACAGCAGTTTTCATGCAATTGGAATTTGAAGGATGTTGCAAAGTTTGTTATTGATATTGATTTTATATTAAAAAGGTTGTTTAATTCAATGTGTGTTATCCATCACCAGGGATGAAGCTTTAATACTGACTTTTTTTATTGTAGAAAATTACTGTCATATTGATTTAGTTAACAGAGTGTTTCTGTACGTGTCTGTGTTCTGAATTGTGTGCTAAAAAGTGTTTTGGTGCTTTGTTTCTCCAGGCTGGGGCACGAGTGCAAGTAAGGCAACATCTGATCGCTACAATCGTCATACATCTTATCCTGCAGTGTCCCCTCCAGGGACTATCAGTCCCCCTCTAGCCACACGGAATAGACACACAGACAGTCTAGGAACCACAAACTATAGTGATCCCAAGATATATAATAGTTACAAGCCATCAAAATATGGCCTATCTTCGGACACTCAGTATGATGTCTCCTACGTCAACAAAGAATTTGGGGAACTCAATGTGGAAAATACTGTGAATGTTATAACTGATGATACTTTCGATAAAACTGCTCCGTATGCATCGAAAAAGTATGAATATAAGGGTTATGATTCATCAGACCCATACAAGAAAAGGAGTAAAACAAACAGTTATGTGTCATCTCGGCCAAGGACTACCGATTTTGACTTGGAGAGACCAAATATTGCAGCAGACGACTCCGATTGGTCCTCTCCAAATAAGCGAACGTCATTGGATGATGTACCACAAAATTTGTTTATGACCCCAGCTCGTAGTCGGTCATCAGTTACTGAGGCAGTTGACTATGGTCGGACAGAAAGACAAGCCAGAAAAACTGTAACCACAGGAAAATCTACATTAGATGATCTGTACAGTGACAAACAATACTTAGAAAATGGAGATGCCCATGTGGCAGAGCGACCTCCCCGCACACGGGGGAGAGACTCTACAGGGCGACGCCCAGTATCTATGGGGGCAGTGTCAAGTGACTTAACTAACTGGCAAAAACACCACCAAGACCAAATGGTGCATCAACAAATAGAGAAAGAGGTAAATTTACCAAACATACCTTGATAAGTTGTCTTAACTAACATATCTTTTCTGATATCATTTATGTTGGTAAGAATTTTTTAGGCCAAGTGTGAATTGTTCTATATCAATAACATTCAGGAGATACCAAATTATCTATAGAACAACTTTTGTTTTCCACTAAAGTTATTTCAGGCCCAGATATTACATTTTAATGATTATATACTTTAGAATGGTATACCATCAGTGTTGTATCTGCCATTAATGATGTGTAATAACATACCTGTGTAAAACTATCTGACTTGAATTCTAAATGCAATCACATGTATAAATACTGGAATCAAAATTACTGAGAACGTAAGAAAAATTTCAAAATACGATGCACGTTGAACATTCTTACATAATATTACTTTATTGTTTTGCAAATCAGGGTGGATTTGGGAAAACTGGCGGTCAAGTCTTCGACCGCTTGTTTAATCAAGTCACTAATGGGGATGACAACCCAGATAAGTGGAACTCGGTCAAGCATGCAGCCGATGCTGTCATATCAGATAAGGATATGTACATTAACAAGTAAGTATACACTACACAGATTTCTAAACATTCCTGGTCTGTGATTTACGGAAGTATGCTTTCTTTTATAGCAGTAATTTGTCTTACAAGTTATTTCCTTTTTGGAAATTTAAAACTTTTGCCTATTATATTATTGAGGGATTTGGTGATACATGTAAATTTGTTACTTCTGAAAAAAAAATGAAAAAAAAATTAAAAAAAAAAAACCATAAAATAACCATAAAAACTACATAAATATCAACCTTTTTATGTAAATTTCAAAGAGTATTTATCAGTGTTTGTTCCTAATTTTGAAAATGCAATAAGTCCCTCAGAAAGAATACTGAGTATGTCTTGTTTTAAGGTATTAGTTGGTCAAAAGAAGGTCTATAAATGCTTATTTGTCAGCTTGGGGTTTTGAATAAGAAACTTAGATAACACTGTAAAATCAGACATTTTGGTGGGAATTATTTTCATGATTTTGAAAAAAATTATGTTTTGGTGGAAATTTGATTTCGTGGATTAAGAGCACTCATGAAATTGACAAATTAAGTCCTCACAAAATTGATAATTTTGTATAAAACAGTACTAAATTTACGTAGTTATGTGATATGTAGTAAAGTATTTTAAGGCAGGTATACAGTATATACAGGGAAAAAATGTTTTGATAGGGAAATCTTTTACCTGTTATAACTGTTTATCTGTTGCAATATACAGGAGATATTGACACAGTTTTCTCAGGAACAGAAATCAAATCTTCTCAAGTTGAGATTTATCAAGGGTTAGCTGTAATAAACAATGGCTGTTTATAAATGTTTTCTCAGACTGAAAATGCAGAACATGCAGCTGGAAGAGGATAACAAACAGTATGAGGCGAAACTTCGACGAGCATTAATGAGTGAATCTGACCAGGGCAATGAAGCTTATTCACAGATTAAGGTAACCAGTCAGTAGTTAGTCTTAAAGTAACCACGCCCACCACAATATTACAGAACTTATTAGTCATTTTAGACAATGAACAACAATTTTTATAATGAACTTTTATATTCAGCTTTCAAGTCCTAGATTAAATAATTATATTCACAAGTATAAATTAACAATTTAGATTGAAATAATGGTCAATCACACCAAGATAGATTGGTATTTTTATTCCTCGGTGTCAAAATATATTGATATAGGATTGATATTTTGAATATTTCCTATTTAAAATATCAAACTGACAGTATTCAAGCTGATACAGATATCACCAAAATTAATGAAAATGCTCACAAATTATTAACACATGCAAGGATATATTGTTATGTAAATCAATCTGACTTCTTCAACCTGAAATATGTCTTGTCTGAATAGTGCTTTGTTTAAACCAGTTTCTTTTGAGTGATATATTCAGACCAATAGTCATTTGAATGATGTGTGTCTCTCAAAACAATTCTGTTTCTGAACCTTTCAATGGACTGTGTTATTCTGACTGACAGGAACTGGAGATGAAGAATGTTACATTAAAATCTGAATTGTCTGAGTTGAGGTCGAGAAACAAGGTTGAGCTTGAGGAATTGGAAATCAAACTGGGGTGAGATATATTACTACCATACTGTGATACTCCGTACACGCTACATAGAATTGAGATGGCACATTTCATGCAATTTAAACACTGTATCTTCTGTCAGTAGATTTTTTGTATAATTTCTCTCAAAAATCACACAAGATTAATTCTGTTACATTTGTAAAGATAGTTGTAGGTTTGCAAATTGAAGTTGTGATACAGAAATTGCCTGAAACTTGATTAAAATGGTTTGACTAACTATCCTTAGCTGTCAATAAAATTTGTATTACTAGGTGCATTTTTAGATAAATGATAATAAAAGTCAGGACATTATGTGGACATTTATCATGGGTTTATTATAATTTACAGAGCTGCTGAACATGAAGTGATGCAATTGAGAACAGCACTCAGAAAACGAGCACCAGAATTCCAAGATGATATGCACTCAAAGGTAAAGACACCCTAAAACATAATTCTAGTGTTTGTTATAATGTCTTATTAATCTGGAATTGTTTTATATCGTTTTAAGAAAATACAAAGCTTTTCACTGCAGAAATTTTTGATTGTCATTCGATTCTTTCTTGAAAATGGGCTGCAATACATTTGTAACTACGATCTTTACCTTGCCAGATTGACCAATTGGAAGACGAGAAAGAAGAATGGAAGATGAAGTTCTTGGAGGTGAAAGATGCTCATCACGGCCTGAAACAGAAACAAGAGGAATTACAACGCTATCTCACTAGTCTGCCAACACTAGAGGAGGCCTCCAGACAAGATGAAGAGATATCCTTTTTTCTCTGTCTCACGATATGGAGCGACAGCTCATTATGTCATGAGGGTACAGTATTTCAGAAAAGTGCAGTTGGAAAAATTTTACTGTGTATGAATTAGGATGCAGAACTCTTTTGTAAGGATAGTTATCTTGAACTTAACAGCAAGATCTTGGCAAAAGATACAGTCAGAATTCTATCTGTATATTCAAGCTGAGAATCAATTAGTCTGATTTGCAACTACATGGCTTTCTATTTCTTTCCTATCTATCAGTGTGTGTTGGGATCAACAAGATGAAGTTAAACTAGTGGGTTTCAGCTCATATTGTTGCCTGAATTGATCCTTAGATGGTCTTTCTCAAGTATTTATTTTGTCAGTTCGAAATCCAATATGGCCACTGTCAAGAAAAAAATGGTTATAAACTTCTACTTTAGTTCCCTTGGTGCTATTGAGCATTGAATCGGAGAGGTGTAATGAGGAAATGTGAAAAAGTATTTTTAGGCCTTGTTAAAACTTTCAGTCACATATTTGTTGATGGCATTGAGCTGACATTTTGTGTGAATAATCAAGAAAATAATTTGATAATTGTCCTCAGTCACAATTCTGTTTTGAGTCTCTCATAGATCTTAAGCGTGTGATGATCATTAAGGCCTGGTTGCTTCTTGTTTGTTTTCTTACTTAATGTCACAATGCGAAACATGCTTTAAAGTTGTCAGACGGTGATCATATTGTAATCCCCTTTCTCTCCTTAAAACAAAGAATTAAAACAAACATTATACTGAAATTAAATGTATATTTATGTAAATTATTGAAAGCCATCAAAACATCTTTCAATCATATTTGTAAACATAGTTTAAGAGATAATTAGTTCTGACCCACTATGACTCCAACAGTATTTTAGACCATTTGACCTAGTTTTAATCAGGATTTGAAAAAAAAGTCACCTCACAAAGATTTTTCTAGTCAACAAATGCCTTCTGTTGTCTAGATTTGGATTATATGGAGTCCAGTTGTGGACGTTTTAAAATCTGGATTAAAAGTTAATCCTATGTATAAACTTTAAGCTGGATAAATGGTTGTAGTAAAACCCTTTGTAGGATGTTTAAGGGGAATGAAAGAAATCCTTCTGGTTTCACATAAGTATTTTATTAACCATATATATGTGTAAAAAGTTATTGATATTGTAAATGTCGAAGCATTAAATATATTTATGAGAATTGTAAAACAAATGATTTATGTATTTAAATTTAGAAGTAATGTGCACTAATTCCAATATAAGGAATAAAGATCAAGGACAGATGTATTTGAAAAGACTGCTGTTGTTAGTTTATATGATAAATTTATGTAAAAAACACAGGTGTCAAGACTGAAATCAATTTGAATTCGACAAGATCATTTTCACCCATTTTCACTTAAAAGGTTCTTCCATTTAGATTTTCAAAATTTATCGGTATGAAGGTCATGTTTAAAAAAATATCAAAACTGTAAATATTACGTATGGATGTATCACCGGTCATTTCAACTGGTATATCTATAAGTTACTCCAAATGTATTCCAAAATTTATTTATTTTTTAAGTTCTGTAAGTGAATACTTATAAGGTGGGGTCTGGCACACTCATTTTACCAAGGTTGGGCCTTTTGTCCAGATCGGGGGTGAATTTTTCTCATGTTTGCCTTAACCTGAACACATTAGAGCCTATAGTGAAGAAACCAAGCTGCAGAAGGAGCGGATCGAGGAACTAGAACAAGAACTGTTTGACACACGCAAAGTTCTCTCTTCTCGCGACCTCCACATAGAGGAAGTGGAGAACAAAGGGACACAACTAGGGGAGAAACTGTCCATCCTCACTGAACAGATAGATCACTTCAAGTCTGTTGGCCAGGGAGCAGCACTTAGACAAAAGGAAGAAGAGCTGCAGAAATTACAGGAGGAGAATGATAGGCTTTCTATGGACCTGGAAAAGGCAAAGAAGGTAGGCAGTATAATGCACCTTGAAAACCATTGTTAAAAGAAATTAACTTTTATTCAGGGGGGAGGGGGGATTGGTTTTAACTTCTCACAGAAAAATCAAAGTGAATTTGTTGATAATTATTTGGACAATGATAGACTTTATCAAGGCATGGGATTATTATATAATAATATATGTAATTTGGTGCCCGATACCTCAAACACAAGTGAGTCCAAACAAAGTTACTGGTTTGTTTTCCTTACTGTTAATGAAAATTTCTTTTCCTGTTGTGACTTCAGAAACACACAATTCATTTTGAAAGATTTATTTTCCAGAGGGTGTGACATCACATTTTAAAAATTGGTTATCTACAGTGAACATAGGTCCTTTAGTTGTTGTTAAATACATGTCTATATTACATTGTTCTTGCAATGAATTTTATTCATAAAGTGAACTAAAAAATGAACTAAAAAAAAATTGTTGTGATGAAAGGTGTATATAGTATATATATATATAGGATCTTTAGATTATTTCGTAGGTATTCACTAATATGAAGAAGAATAAATTTGTTGTTACTGGAGATTTGATAGAAATGTTTTTTTCATAGTTACTGGAGACATGTCATCGTAAGATCCGTCACCAGGATGTGAAGCACCAGAACAGTGTAAGACAGATGGAGGAGAGGCTAAGTCAGGAGGAGGAGATGGTCAACGCTCTGAGGGAGGATGGACGCCTTAGAGAAGAGCAAGGCAGCAAGATAAAGAACACACTTAAACAGGTATGGTCACACCAGTACAGTTAAGTTAATTGTTTAAAACAATCCCACTCATAACATGCAGAATTTTATCAAGGTGACTCTTGAGAAAAGAGTGCAGTACAATGAAAAAGTCGTAAAACAGAAAAATATTAGCAAGGGTTTCAAGTGGTTTTATGAATTTATGATAAAAGATAGAAAAAAAATCATAGTTAAAGGAAATATGTAAAGACACTACTTCTAAAGTTCTAAATGAACATACATACATGTACCATGTGTAGGTATTTATTGATTAGCATGGAATAGAAGCATGGTAGTTTTGGAGATGAGTTGAGAGATGAAACAGAATTAATGTCACTGGAAGGTCAGTATTTAATGCATAAAATTTGAAAAGCAGTTTTTAGGCACAGAAGTTTGATGGGTTCTTCAATTTAGAAATAAAAAGAAGGCATGGATAATAATATAGTAATTGATGAAATTTTGAGGGCTAGAGACTCGTGTATAAAAAAGTCTGGTCATTATAAATGAAACTGTCACTAGAAATGATGAAATAAGCAAAGGAAAAAATAATGGTGATCTGAATGCTGTTCAAGTAAAGGTAACCAAAGCAACATGACATTTACAGCTGCAGACCCAAAACCAAGAATTACTGGATCAGAACCTGACAATGAGAGAGCATATTAAGCACCTAGAACAACAGCATAGTGAGGACAACCAACGCCTACAGAGACAGTTCACCACTGAGCTTGGCATCTGCTTTTCCGAGCTCCAGGCACTTGTTCAAATCTGTGTGCAGCGTGCTGAGGGTCAGGACCCTAATATGTCTGACCTACTAGGGGTCAGAGGTGAGTGGATTAAAAGTTCGCTTCAATTTGTTTATATCATTGTTTATGTAAGAATCTTCAGGATGGAACTTAATTGAAAATCTAGCCTTCGAGACACCAAAAGTGAGAATGTTATCTCGGTAGGACTCGGCTTTCATATATCTTAAGGATTCTGATGTGCCAGAAATTGACCTGATAGAAGTTACGTGATATTAGGTCAAAGGATTGTGTTAGTCTATTTTACTACAGGGTTGATTTTAAAATGTTAGGCCCAACCATATCTTACTAATAAAGAATGAATGTTAAGCTTGTTCCCGGTTTCTTCTATGTAGTATTTAACTACCTAGTAAGGTAACTTAATGGTTAGAACAACATATACAAGATGTCACTCATTCCAATGTCAAATGGTATTGTTCAGAAAGTCTTTCAGAGCACGTTTTGCTATTTTTGACATTCAGAAATTTATCAATCATAAATAAACCAGTCATCTAATCTTGAATTTACTAATTGGCCACAGTTTGTCAAGATCCATATGTCCGCCAGAATTTAGTATAAAACTTGGTTCTTTTCTACTTTATATACAGATGTTTTTTATGAATGGTGTTGAAAAGAGATACCGGTATTCTTTTTTTCCCAGCCGATGTAGAGACAGCAGCAAATGGGGGACCACAAGTCGAGGCCCAGACCATGAAACAGTGGCTGTCAAAGACACAGGAACTCCGCACAGAAATAGAACAGCTGAGGGTGATGATCTGCAATAAATATGCTGAGGACATTGGGGATAACCTTAACTGTACAACACAGTAACCACCTCAGATGAATGATAAACCACCACGGCAGATATATAAACCATTACTTCAAATATGACACAATGATAAAAGGACCCATCGTCTCCTGTCTTCCTGTTACTGGTTACTGTACTATCATGTTACACACTGACTCGTGTTCAGTGTGTCTGTCAGTCGTCCAGATATCGTAGTTAAAGGTTAAATCTGGAATATGATAAAGTAGAATCTGAACTTAATACAAAGTCTTAACTATATGTAGGTCACGGAGAAATATTTTCAAATCTATTATTAAATTTTTGTTGTGCAGACAAAATATCACTGTATAGTGAATTGAATCTCTAGTCATGGATTAATATTATCCAGTAAAGAATTTTATGTAGTTTAGAATTAGAATTTAGACATTTCATATACACTGAAAAGTGCAGGGATTAGACTAGCATTTTAATCCACCTACCATTATTTGTGAAAATGAAAATGTCACCTAAAAAGTTTCATAGGGGAAGTTACATATTATTGGTCATGCTATCAATTACATTACAAACTGTCTTGAAGTTAGATTTGCATAACATAGATATACTCCTTTACTTCATTTGGAGATGGTCTAGATTGAAATAGATGTGTTTTACTGTTTGTTAACTAAGCTGAAGTCCCTCAATTTCATCTGTTTGTAAACTTATTTGATTAACTCCATTTTAGTGACATTGAAAAAGATTGATATAATAAAACTAATGTTTCAGTTATAAGGTTCAACCTGAAGGAAATTTTGCTTAAACAAAGTACAATACACATTTATATGGAAATATTTGTTTTTTGTAAAAGAATTATTAACTAATCGAGTGCTGAAACATAGATTAAATGATTAAATTTCAAATTATAAAATGTATATAGAAGTGAGAATTGTTAAGTTACACATATCAGGAGTGAAAGCCATGTAGTTATGTCTGGATAGATGATACAGGTAAATACCTTGTCACCATCATTTCATGTTCATACCAGTTTGAATCTAGAGATGTATAACCAGCATGTTCATATCTATAGAACCATTGTAGAGTAAAATTTTATCTAACATATTAACGTAACGGGGAATTTGAGTGATTGTTCATATATATAGCTTTATATAGCTGATAAGAAAACAGAGGCAGCTTGTATGGAGTTTTCTCTCTGCTGAAATCATTACCATAAAAATAATTATATATCTCACTTTTTGGGGGTTGTGGGTGGAGAGATGCTCCATTGATTATGCTCAGTGTAAGGGAGATAACCCCATACTTTATTTACCTACAATCGCACAGCAGTTGTAAAAATTGAAGTCACCAGTACTTGTACTCAACATTATTTTGATTCCATATATCATTTTCCTTTTCCTTCATTATCATTGAAGACAATGTTTTCTTCATTTCATATTTAAAGAAAACCGAAAATGCCACCAATGTATATTTAACCAGGAAATTAAGTATTCACAGAAAATATACAAAGAGAAATCCATGTATAGGATAGAAGTCAACAAACTTAGTATTACCATGTTATCCAGACAAAATATTAAGCCAAGATGATATTCTTTAATGTAAATACTTTTAAAAATGTTTGTTGTTTTTGTGTGCAATTAAGGAAAAAAACAAACAAACAAAAAGAACACAAAAATATTTTGTACATAATATACCTTTGTTGATTATTCATTCAACCCATTTGTAAATAACTTTTAACATGTTTGATTTAAGTTTTTGCACTTAAATGATCTGATACATTGAAAAGGTCTCATGGAAGTAATACATTTACAATAGACCAAAGATGATGTGAACAGGTTGTCGACGAATATAAAAAATTATCCTTCAATGTATATAAGTTGTACTTTACAAGGTACATAGACAAAAGTATATTTTCTCATTCTCATTTACAATATCTAAAACATCTGTCCTCACGAAAGGTGATCGTTGAAATGGGTAAAATTGCAATGTGAATCTCCCCATACAGAGTATTGGTAATCAAAGATTTAATTTGTATAATTGATATTATTTTAGCATCAATTACATGTACTTCCATTTTCAGTGCCTTAGAGAACTGTTTAGCACAAATTTATTTTCTATATTCATCAACCATTTACACATATTTTATTGTAGATAGACTGTGATATTTGTTCGGTTTCAATATTTTTGTGTATGATGACTCCATGATAACTTACAAGAAATCATTACCAGTGGGTGCTGTAGATTGAAATGTTAACTGTAAAAGTTATTATTTTTGCTGGGATCTTTTTACACCTGTTCATGAAAAATCTTTGGAATATGTTTAAATAGTTATGGAAGTCATAATCACAAGTAATTGATATATCTATAATTGAGCTGTCATTTGGAACAAAGTTAACCTACAAATGAATTTATTTTGAGTTTTACATCGAGTTCCATCAATATCTAGAGGAAAAATAATATGGTTTTCTCTAGTTTCTCTCAAAAATGAATTACTTTGGATCACTTTAAATCAAATTACAAAAAAAAAAACTCTATTTATAGCTTTTAGCCCACCATCTGTCATTTCCAAACAAATTCTTAAGAACCTGGTGGAGATAATAACATTTACACTTAGTTTTGTTGGTATTTATTTGTTTGAATATATTGTAAATATGTTAATTTATGACATTGTTCTCATTGCTGAATATACCTGTTTGATAGACTGCTGTTAATAGAGAGCGAGCCATGGACTCAAATTAAACAAACGACCAGACTCAGGGTCATAGAATGACATAGATATAGAATAGCTTTGATGGTTTTATGATCCTGAATCTGGTTTCTTTATTTTCTGGGTTGTAGGCAGATCTTTAACATGTTTCTTGAAAATATAACATTACAAGGATTTTACCTTTGCAAAAATTTTTGCTCAAACAAAAGTATAATGATGTTGTTTTCAATAGTTGTATTGTACTGAATATTAACCTGGATATCTGATCTTTGATTTACATAAAAGATAAACCTTATGTTATACCACTTCTCACAATGTAGGCCAGGATCTTTTCATTTGAAGTGAAGCAGATGGTTAGATGCTGGAAACCTTCTGGTGTTTGTTAGTTGAATAATGTTATTGACCCCTGTAAATTCTGCTTACAACCCATTAAACAATATAGTGATGTATTTTTGGAAAGTTTTCATGTAAAAAAATTGTCATATAATATTCTCAATCATTCCATTGTTGTTAGCTCACCTGGCCAAAAGGGCCAAGTGAGGTTATGCCATAGTGCAGAGTCAGTCGTCGGTCTGTCCTGGGTCCGTCAACTTTTCATTTAAACAACTTCTGAAATACCGAAAGGCATAGAGTTATCATATTTGGCTGGAAGGTTCCTTTGATGAAGCCCAACAAAGTTTGCAAAAAGAAATGACCTTGACCCATATTCAAAGTCACAGAGATCAAATATGTTAAAACCTTTGAACGACTTTTTCCAAAATACTGGATGGCCTAGAATTATTATATTTGGCTTGGAGGTTCTTTTGATGAAGCCCAACAAAGTTTGTGAAAAGAAATTACCTTGACCCATACTCAAGGATACAGAGGTAAGATGTGTTAAAACCTTTAAACGACCTCTTCCCAAATACCAGAAGGCCAAGAATCATTATATTATGCTACTATGTTCCTCCTATGGTGTCCTACAAAGTTTGCTAAAAGAAATAACCTTTACCCATATTAAAGGCCACAGAGGTCAAATGTATTAAACATAGAACATATGCACAGATATAGTACTGTCGGTCATAAAGATCCAAGTGAGCGATACAGGCCCTCTGGGCCTCTTGTTTAATTATGAGTTACTGAACACAGGGTTTTGATTTATGTTATTTTTCTAAGTTATCATATCAGGATACATTGTTATCTTAAATTCATCATTTCAGTAAATACTGTGTTAAGATTCATTTTCTTTCTTCCATAAAAACTACTATATGAATCTCCGACCATAAACACATTTTGTTACTTCTACATCAGACTGTTTAAGAAAATATTTTGTTGTTGAAATGTCAATGTACATGTGTTTCATATTCACTCACAGATTAATTGAATGTTTCCACCAATTATTGCACTGATAGACAAATAGCTTGCCACTGTATAGGAAAGAGTATTCTCCCTTTTTGTCATATTGTTTAGTGACATTAGAAGTTTACAAGATATTTTTGTGCAGATATATGTTTGTATATGTTTAAATTGGATGTTTGCATTGTATGATGTTGGGCAGGGGAAGTTAATTAATGATTGTGGTCAAATTTACCTTCAAAAGAATTGCGCAATACCAGTAATTGCTTAACATGGGTTTGCTTGGTTCAATTTCATTACAGACATTACTTCAAAGTCTACAAAGTAGAGCATCAAACCGTCATTGTATCCAAAAAATATTGTAAAAGAGACAAATTTAATAATGATACAAGCTTGTACATGAATGAAACCACTGTGTATTTTGTTTTTATATAAAGTATACCATTATTCAATCATCTGACAAAGCACTACAGTGTCATAGTGTACAGTTTTGACCTTTGACCTAATCCACCTTCTCTGCCCACCAATTCAGCCCTCTGGGAGGGTCTAGTCACATGACTAAAGTCTCAACAGTATTGCGTTATAAACCACTGCCAGACCTTTTGGTCTCCATTAGTTCCCTAGCCAATCAAGGCTAGGTCAGACTGTATATGTCATGGTGTTTCATCCATCCTCATCAAACACTAAACATTGAAAGTTTGACTTCAAATAAGAAGCTCATTATTGAGGATTTTCATGTTTTGTACTTGAAAATGATATTTACTGGTGTCATCCTATCATCCAGCTGAGCAGGCCCTATTGGTCTTTGTATATAGTTTTATCTTGTGTGTCATTGTAATTGTGTTTTTTTTAGATTGTTTAATAAAATTGTATAAAAAATACCCTTGTTTTCATCATTATTTCTTTTATTGTGATCTATAATTCAAACCACCAACTTATAATCCTGTGGAATATATACAATATTCTTTAAGTAAGTAATGTTATCCAAGATAAAGCTGCGAAGTAAGAAGGGAAAGTAAAAATTATGAATTCATTACTATATATAACATATTAAAGATGAAGACTGCAGTGATGAAGACGACTCATATTTCTGAATACTGTTATACAGCCCAGGTGGCTACTGCACTAAAAAGTGGGGGAAAGGCAAGGCTTATCCCTGAAACAGACCTAATGTCCAATTAGAATTTATACCTAATATGAACTCTCATCAAAACATGAACGGACAAGGCCTAATGGATATGTTCAACTTTATAACACATTTACTTAAGAGATGAAAATTCAAGAAACAATATTCAGTGGTGGCCATGTTATGTTAGGACCTTGCTCATCAGACATACATTTTTTGTACTTACAAATAGCCTATTGAATATTGTTCTTCATTTTTGCATCATGACACTTCACGAGGGAGGCTTATATTCTATATATCATTAAGGGAAGGGGTGGGGATGAAATGGCTAATTACTACAGGATACTGACATTGTAGAGGTAGTTTGAGTAATTACCGGACATGGACTTTTTGTCAGATAAAGATGCTATATGAGGTAATATTCAGTCAAGTTCAATACTGGTTCCGTGTTAATGATATCCTAAATTAAATTCAATGGTGTAACATTTTATGTTGAGAAGAAATTGAAAGTTTTAAAAGAATACAGCTAGCCTTCCAAGTCAAAATTTATAGTGTGGTCAGTGGAAAAATTCCTATTATTATAAACGATTGCACAAATCTACTTTTCTTCTGTTATACATAAGTTTCTATCTTAACTTCTGAGAGCACAAATTCCCAAGAACATGGTCAATATCTGTTACAGACTCAACTTTTTAAAACATCAAATTAATACTGCAGTGTTCAAAGTGTTTTGTAATGCTTGGATTTAATTCTTGCAACAACTAAAGGTGAATTGTTTCCCTTAGAAGGATTCTTCAAAATTTGATAGCAGTATTAGATCTTAAGTACGTGGATCTACCTTGTATTTATCTGTAAATACATCGATGGAAAATATTATATCACGGCGTTCTTTTTAATTCATGCTAAACACATGTATTTATCTATTCTAATTCTTCTTCTGCTTCTTTGAAAAGCATTGAATTTTGAAGCAGGAAATTAAATAGTGATTGAATCTGAAATCAAATATCTGTGATTGTGATTGGGGAAAAATGAGGGGAAAAAAGACCAGTAATTTTTACCTAAAAAAAATCCGGATATTTATTGCAATTGTTTCGAAAATTTGTAGGATAAAATCACAGTCACAAAAATGCTTGATAGGGGGGCAGCTTCAATGATAGTTGATTGATAACAATAGCAACGTTGAATTTATTAGTTTGTGAAAATGGCAGCCACTTTGTCATTTCGCTGGCTTGAAATTCTCGAAAAGGAGTTCGATAAATCATTTGTTGATTTGGACTTACTACTTGGAGAGATAGATCCAGACCAATGTGAACTCACTTTTGAAGGGCGTCAAAAAATGACAGCATTAAGTGCCGCATTCGCTCAATTGTGTCACAAATCACAAACCATTTTTCAGTCAAATGCCAAAATAGAAGTAAGAAAACATACGTGTCTGTAACAAAAGGATTGTGATAGGGACTTTCTTTTTCATTAAGGGTTATGCTGACAGATAATTAGACCATTTGATTACTTAAATACAATTCCGGAATCGCTTAATACAGATATTTCTTGCAACGGAAGTTGCCACGTCACGTCATTTTGCCGGTGTTTATAAACCGTGTATATTATCACAGGTCTTTGAAACTCATAATGTAAGTTGATAAATATATATATCATATAAAACTAAGGGTATCTATATGAAAAAGGGCATCCTTATTTTATATGATAGATATGTTTCTCAATTTACAGTAAAAAATATCAACCACTCCATGTTTTATGTGATGTGTACTGTACTTAGTGTAGAACGAGAAACATGATAAACTCTGAAACTAACTTGCATTATTAAAACATGCATGCAGAAATAGGACATGTTTGTGTCCAGTATATATCTTGATAGTGTCTATAAACATCTATCAAAGTTCTAGATCTTCTACCCCTCTACACTGTCTCTGATATATATAGTGGATAACATATAACACATTCCAAGCATTTTAAGGTACTGTTTAACCGAATGGCTACCATGTAAAGGAATGGCTGTAGGGGAATGAACACTATCCTAATGTAACTTGGTTGGGTTAAGTCACAAGTTGATAACAACTAATTGTCATTGTTCATACCCATTATATTGTTATCAACTCATGGATCTACTGTTGTAAGCAGAGCTCTAGATCCTTCAGATTTTATTTGATTGAAGTGCACTGATACCCTGGTCCCATGTACAAGTGAAGATCATGATCAAACCAATCAGCTAGTCCAAAATGCATTGTCCAGAAGTTTGTCAGATCTTGCATTTAGCATATTGGTGATCATGACAGCCCACAGAATGAGAGGTGACTAGTTGGAGCCACATAGAGGACAGCTAGAACATTTCATTACTCTTGCCTTTTACACAAATAAGTCAGGGCTCTCAATCTGCCAGGTTTGGGGCCAATTATTCCCAATGCAAAATAATATCTTTTTTTTCCCAATTTAGACCCCAAGTTTTCCTAATTCTAAGGAAAACAACATTATTTTTCCCAATTCCAAGGGCCCCGGGCCCCAGTCCCAAAATGGGATGTGAGAGCCCTGTAAGTACCTGTATAGGTGAAATCTTCTCATGTTGATGTTAAATAACTAACAACAGGTAAACACAAATAATAACATACACATGGACAATATCTGGGAGACTTTAAAATGTATCAGATAAAATATATGTGATATACTCATTGTGAGTAAACCTGATATTGAAGTGAAGGCTAAAACTTATAACTGAAGCACAATCAATTACAACACCAGGTATTCCCAGCTACATATGCATTCTCCTCAGGTTTAAAGATGTTGTCCCAGCATCTGCATATATTCAATATATAGTATATGAAAAGACAAATTTTGATGTTATAAAAGTGAAAAATTGCCGTAAACATTTTAGAGGCTTTCTTTGCCATTAGGCTGTGTATTTGTGTGATCTATGTCACCTTGATTGTCAAGGATAAGCTTAATACTTTAATTTACAATTATTAGGGCCCCATCCCACAGTTGCAGATGCCCAATAGTGATTAATTGGTTTGTCCTTGCAGCCATCTAACTGAAAAATTCATAATCGTTTCATAACTTTGTAACCAGTCATGGCAGAATGATGAAACTTTTTATGGTTGCTAACCACTGTTAGAAGATATGTCATATACCAAATTTTTGTTTGTCCTCCAAATGTTTTCATTGCACCCCAATATTGAACACATTATTTTTCAACCAGTCATACATAGTAGAGGGTTGAAACTTTACATGATTGTTAACCACTTCGAGAAGGTGAATAGGAGTTCTGAGTGTGAAACAATTATTCGCATATTTTGGGAATACCCAGAAGTACAAAAATTACTACAAAGTTTTGAAACATTACTAGAGGTTCTATACTGCCTTTTTTTTATTTACAAAACAGATGTCTGGATAGCTCTCTAAATGTAAAGGTTTTAACGAACCTAATTAAGGATACCTGTACTGTTAAAAAATGATGATAAAATGAAGTTGAAATGTCAAAAAGAATGGAGAAATGGAACGAACTCATTTAAATTTTAGTCCATAATTCCTTTATACACAATTCAATTCTTGATTCATGTTTGTTTTTGTATTCGGTTAATTATGATTACTTATGTAAATACATCTCAGTCCTTCACTCTATATGGAGTAACAATTTTAGTGATGCCTTCCTTGTCATTTAGTTAGCCAGGTAATGCTAAGCTGGAAATATTCATTAGATATTTGTTATGATAATTGTCAATTTTATGTCTTGTTATAGAATGAATAATGCTACTATTTAGTTTGATATTCTGAAAAGATTACAACTTAAAACAATTTCATTGGTTTTATATACAATTTCTGAACATATTGACATGCAAACTGAAAAAGAAATGTATAGATACCAACGGACATCTGGCACCAACATAAAAAAGAAATGAAAAAAAAAATTTTATGCTGTTAGAATGTATTACATTATAATGTACATTATGTTTTACATCTTCATACTTTCACTACATTTCAAGGGTTTAGAAATGTGAAATATTATTTTACGATTATATTTTATTATTTTATTATTATCTTAAATTATTTTGCTATTGTTTTTAAGGCACAACTGTTGGATATGAGATCCAGCTTAGCCCAGATTAAAGCCTCTAAGACAATGCTAGAGAAGGAACTGGGCGATGTTTTACTCCAGCTACACTCATCCGAGTTACAAAGACAAGCAGAGAAAGGTGTGGAAATTGACTCCTCGGTCATCAAAAAGAAAGTGGTATGTACAATACATTTATATTTATATTGTCATCAAAAAGACGTGTTTCATCAAAAATCTTTTAATCTATAAATCCAATATCATGTCATGTAGATGAAGTTTTAAAGGACAAATACAACTGTTCATAATGTACATGATGCTAATTTTATCTTTCAGATGTTATCCACAATAAGGCCTATTGTAGTAACTTTCATTTCAAACAAGCAGTGCTCTACTGTGAAAGTTAAGCCACATGTATGCCTATATTAAAATGATGTGCATATAATTTATAAAGAAGAATGAAATTCAATCAATTTCAAATATTTTCACATGTTAATATATATTTGACCATTATAAATGTTTTGTTTTATGACTTTAAGGAAGAGGAAATGGAAAAGAGAAAATCTAAAACATCTAATTTACTCATAATGGAGTCGGAGATGGCTGAACTTCGACGAGAAAACGATGAACTTCGTCAGTATGTGTTGGCGCTACAAGGAGAAGTGTATGGGGCAAGGCTTGCAGCAAAGTACCTGGATAAGGAGCTGGCAGGGAGGTATGAGCAATTCTTATATCAAATATTTTTTCAGACAGATACATGATTGTAGATAATGACATGTCTCATTCAGAAGAGATAGAATGGCTTCTCAGAATAAGAAGATGGGAAATTGTCACAGGAAAAAGCGCCATTGAAGGAATTAGATACATGTGTCAAGGAAATCACTAAATATAATCCCTCGTCAAATACTGGATATTACTGTAATGAAGATACATTTGTACAAAAGTATGGCCTTTTGGTTTTGAAAATAAGAGTAACCAAGATTTATTTTAGTATGTATTTTGAAATTGCTTTTGAGTTCCAAAGCAATGTTAAGTACATGTAAATGAAAAATGGTTTCACTCAAATTTTCAGTTTGGAATTCCTGCTTTATAGGAATATTTTTCTTCATAAAGTTGATTTGTGGCTTTTGACAAAGATTTATTTTAAAAAGAAAAAAATCCTGATTTAGTTCGTTACTATATGCATTGTGCACATTAAATGACCACACAAGTTGATGATGAAACAGGACGATGCCATCTTGGCTGGAATTGATTGATAAATGGGATTAGGCCATGTTGTTTTTTTTGCACAGATATTATTATCTGATGGCAGCAATATCTGGTACTATTTTTAAGTATGATGGACATGTACATGAAATAAAAACAAAACAAAAATTTAAAAAAATGTCACGATGAAGTCAAAGCAGTTAGGATTTTATTTATTCAGCTGTTGAGATAACTATGAAAGATTTCATTTTTATCTTTTTCAGAATACAACAAATTCAGCTGCTGGGAAGAGATATGAGAGGAGCAGAGCATGATCGGCTATGGAACCAACTGGAGGCTGAGATCCATCTCCATCGCCACAAAACAGTGATAAGGGCATGTCGTGGACGAACTACACGCAAAAAGAAGCTTCCTGTTCCTGCAGGACATGTAAGACAGAGACAAAGTTAAAGTATCGCTGCTTTTCTAAATACAGATCTTGATTTAATCTAAATCAATGAGGAAACAATCCTAGCTAAAGACCTGATTATAAGTTGATAGGTACACTTCTCATTTTTTTTCTTCGCTCCATTTTGGTTTCAAATACATTTCATGTGTGATAGAATGTTTTCAAAAACCAGACAAACATTAATTCATCTCAAAATTTAAGAGAAGGAATGGTCACATTTTCAAATTTGATGCAAATCTAGAAATTAAGGCGAAATCTGTTTAAAAAATGACAATTGACATCTTGTTTATTTTCTATTTTTTATAGGACTTCCAATCACTCAGGAAACAGCATGGACTGGGAGATGTTCGTAAGGTCGTTCTTAACAAAGGGGAAGATGATGGACTGGGGTTGTCCATAACGGTGGGTATTCTATTAGATGTGGGAATTCTAGAAATCTGATAAATAGCCATTGGTTTCCACAGATATTCTTGCAGGTTTGAATTTCATCGGATAAGAGATGATTAAAACTAAACAACAGATTTTGATAAACAGAAATATTAAACATCCTGTTTTAGTATGATTTATCTCATTGAAAGTTGATATGATGTAATGGAATATTTGAAGAAAATTTAGACATACATATAATATAGCTGATACAATTACTCATTTGTAAAGATATATTTCTACATGTGAATGCTATTGAAAATCAGCTGATGTTTGCTTCATTGTTTTGATCTAAAAATCTCTTTAGCATAGATAAAATTACAAATGTTTTAGGGAGGTAAAGAACATGGTGTTCCTATTTTGATATCGGAGATCCACGAGGGACAGCCAGCGGAGAGGTGTGAGTCACTTTATGTAGGTGACGCTATCTTATCAGTGAATCAAATAGACCTACGCAATGCCAAACATGCTGAGGCTGTTCAAGTGTTGTCACAACAGGTAAGTTGTCTCTGTTATATGTTATCACAACAGGTAAGTTGTCTCTGTTATATGTTGTCACAACAGGTATGTTGTCTGTGTTCAAGTGTTGTCACAACAGGTAAGTTGTCTCTGTTCAAGTGTTGTCACAACAGGTAAGTTGTCTCTATTTAAGTGTTGTCACAACAGGTAAGTTGTCTGTTACATGTTGTCACAACAGGTTAGTTGTCTATGTGAAAGAACACGAACATGTTAATAATATTGTCTCAATTTTGAGATACAAAGAGGAAAAAATATATATTCATACAGACAAGGTGTACCAGAAGTATAATTCAAGTAATTTTGTCTTCTCAAAATAAGAGCCAGGTTAATTACAACAGTGTTAATCAGCATATTACTAATTAGAATCAAACACTTTGAACTTTGTATCAACAAAACTAGAATATATCTCAGTGATATCATAAAAGAAATAAAAAAACTTCCCATACTTTTCATCAATATCCATCACAGTTTTCATTGAATGTAGGTCACAGTTCTCATTGAATGTAGGTCACAGTTCTCATTGAATGTAGGTCACAGTTCTCATTGTATGTAGGTCACAGTTCTCATTGTATGTAGGTCACTGTTCTCATTGAATGTAGGTCACAGTTCTCATTGTATGTAGGTCACAGTTCTCATTGAATGTAGGTCACTGTTCTCATTGAATGTAGGTCACAGTTCTCTATAAACCTTGTGTGGTAAGTTTTGCCTTAAGCTATCAATGAAGTTTTGATATTGAGATTTTTGGTTAAAAATATCAGTTCCAGTACGACAGGTAACACCAAAGTTTATCGAAATCAGAATATTACTACCTAGTACGATATATATAGCATTGTAACAACAGGTTTGTTAACCGTTTAATTTGTTTAAAGTCTAGTGGTTGTTACCAAATCTTTCATAGAACAAAAATGTAAATCTCTTCACTTTTCCACAGCATCTCACAAATTTTAGGAAAATGTACTTTACTTTTTTGTTCAACGTAATTTAACACAAGTAATATTTTTCTACTGACTAACATTAGTTGAAGAATTTCCATATGTCACATAGGTGAAATTATATTTCGGTTTATTTTATTCTCAACTAGGTTTTATGAATAACACATGTCATTAACTCCAATGACTCTCATAACATCCTATATTGTTTTTAGCAAGGGGAGATAGAATTGGAGGTCATGTTCGTCGCACCAGATGAAGACAGCGACGAAGATAATAATGAGTATGATGATGAAAATGGCTTTCGGTGAGTATGTTTTTAAAAACCATTGTTGATAAAGAAAAAGGATAGATGTGTTGGGTTGGCTTTAATATACATTGACCTTAAAAACCAATGAAAGTTTTTAAAATAATTGTGAGAATATAAAGTAATGGTATGGTGAAAGCTGTGATTTATACGGATTACATTAAGATGATATTTGAAATTGTCCCTACATTAATGGTCTGATGAAATCTACAATCACTAGATTTTATGATCTATTTATCAATCACAGTTACCGTATCTATGATGAGGAGGTACTAAGCAGTGGTAGTGAGGTTGACCGTCGAGAACAAAACAAGATGCATCAGTCAGGGTCGGCATCAGCTGATGGTCAGCCAATGTCACCATCTACCCCGAAGTCTCCCATGTCAACAAATACTAGTCCTGGAAGGTAATTTATAAAATAGGCGTCTCTTAATGATATCGTAAACAAGAGTAAATCCTGTTTAACCATTGAGGCTAGCTGTTGTCATACTTTTTCTACCATTGTGTTGTTTTTATGCTTTTTCTTCATGTCTTTTTTTCTCAACTGAAATGTCTCTTGTGATAGAAAATTGAAAATGACAGACTAGGGTGAAATGCTATTTCCTTTTATTGTTGATTGTTTTATTGTGTTATTATGGCAGAAACTTACACTTGAAGCTGCTTTATGTCGGGGAAATATCCAATTCTGTTTTTGAAAAATAACACTTGGAGCTCCTTTTATATAATTATATTGTTATTTGTAATTATAACCGATGGAAGCATCAGTATATAGTTTATATGCTGAAAAAGTAAAAGGATTTCAAGAAATTACTTGAATTCCAATAAGAATTGTTTATGATAATGTTTCTAATGATGAAGCTAGTTTACATTTCCTGAGATATTAAAAGTTCCATGAACAAGATAATCAGTCATGATTGAAAAGCTCACAATAAATGTTTGGAAGTAAATTTACATTTTGACATGGGGCTTTAGTGGTTAAGGCGTATGACCATCTTTATCACAAGCCTTCCACCTCTGGTTTTGGGTTTGAGGCCTATATGGGGCAGTCACTAGGTACTGTGCAGGTTGATGGTTTTAATCCAAGAACTCTGGCTTTCTTTTACCACATGAACCAGGCACATCCTTAAATGTGCCTTGCTGTCAATAGGACACAAATCAACAATAATCGTTATGGCACAGTATTTAAGGTGACTTTTTTTAATAAAGTCTTGGAAAATTAAGTCTGAATGTTGTTTAAGAAAACTTTGAAACCTCTTTTTTTTGACGAAAATGTTTGAATTACATTTCAGGCCAACTTTAGGGAGCAATTCTCCTCAAAAGAGCCCTATACGTGAGAATGGACCACATAGCCCAGAACAACTTCAAGTTGGCTCACTGCAGTCCAATAATATACAGGGGGAGGGGCCAGAGGAAGCCCCAACATTCAACAGTGACTATCGATAGGCCCCAGACATGCATAATCTACTTTAATTTAATATCATGTGTTTTTATTGTGTAATCAAGAGGGATCAATCTTACTATTAAAGATGGAGCCAAGGTTTGTCCAGGTTTAGTTACAGTAAAATCTAGCTTTATCTGTCATGTTTTTTGAAAGGAAATCTTTTCATTAAAAAATTGAAATAAATTGGATGATAAATCATGATCTGCTGTGCATGAACTTGACCCTAAAAAGTCACACCAAATTTGTGTTAGATCTGTAAAAGGGAGAAGTCAGGAAAAATACCCTGCCACCACTGGGGTTCAAACTAGTGACCCTTCAGTCTCTTGCCGGACACTATTGCTTGAATGAAGGAAAATTCCCACTAGCCAAGACATGTAAAGTGACCTGTACTCTCAACTTCTACAGAACTAAAACAGTCATGAGAATCTCCACTAGTTTGTACTAAGATCATGTCAATGTTGCCAGTGGTGATAACCTGGTAAACATGTGATATGCTTTTATAAAAATTGTTACTGATTGTAAATTGATATATAACTATTCATTTGTTGGATAATCCTTGGCTTTATCAGGGCTTTACAGTGTGAACAAGACTTTGGAGAAAACCTGTAAAAATTAGATTAAAACTGTATAGTTTGAAAATTTTTTTGTGAAAAGAAAAATTCAATAATTAAATCTCTTTGTTGATAAATTATAATCTGTTCATAGGTAAAAGTAACTCTCAACCTTTATCTTGAAAATACGTCTGGCAAAAGGATTGAACCTTTTCATGTGAAAAATGGAGACAAGTGTAAAATAAAAGTTACATGAGTGTTTTTAAATGAACATGACTTTACATTTGTTAATCATACACTTCAGAGCTGCGACACAAAAATCTGAGTTGTGTCCAATTCAGTTATGATTGTGATAAACATGTTTGCATACTGATTGTTTTTGAACACAAATCTAGTTCAACACTTGCGTATTCATTCAAAAGCATGCTGACTATGTGATGTTTACTGTGAAATCTGCAAGAAAGCTGAATGCAAGTGAAACTATTTTATTTGATATGTTAATAAAATTGATCATAACTGTTTTTCAGCAGTATCTCAAATATCATGGTATTGAATGGAATTTAGTTAAATAACCCATCCTTCACTTCAATATCCAAATAGCTAAATAACGTTTCTTAGCTGTCTCTCAAAATTTTACCGATGAAAATCTAAGATCTGACATATCTTAAAATGAAGTCTATCAGTAATCACAGAGTGTTTTTTTTTACAATACATATAATTCTGTTTCTGAACCATTCCAAACATATACAAATAACACTATAAGTGTTATCTACATATTTGAGATAAAAAAAAATCATGATTAGAGGTTTATTCTGAAACAGAATGAAGGATCAAATGTTTTGGCAATATTTTAGGACAGGTCCTGGTGTATGTATATAAGAAATGTTTTGTATGTGATTCCTAGGTCATTGTTTATGTATATAATGTTGCTGAGGGAGATCCAGAAACATAATTGTATATCAAATCCATTTTGACTGGAGTGTGTGTTGTTTGATGATAAATTTGTTTATTTATATATGTATGTGTAAGTACACTTTGTTTTTGTGCCATTTATTTTGTAAGTCTAATAGTATAAATATAGGAAGACTCAAAATAAATAATATATTGAACAATTTCATCATTTCGTAAATGTAGAATATTTTCCATTGTATAAGTGTTTCTTTCTGTAACTGCTGAAAATGTTCAGATCTTGATTTATCAAGTTCAGATACAAATTAAAGTAGACAATCATAGTCATGATGATCAATTGTTGCCATGGTGATCTTTTTTTTATTTTCAGATAGACACTATTTTGATATTTATAGATTGAAATGAGTTTTTTTTTCATTTCATTTAGTTATTATTTTCCCTTTTTTGTAACTAGTGTTCAATATATTTTCATTTTCCGATATTTTATTAGTGGTACCAATATTTCATATTTGAAAGATTATAATTTTCGTATGATTACCTTATGATTTTATGATTTGTATTTTCTTTTTATATGATTGAAAAAAAGAAAAATTTATAAAGAGCTTTTTACAATGAATTTATGATAATAGTGTTTTATTTTCTTTCTGTCAGATTAATGAACTTATATTTTTCTAATAGGGTCTATTTACAAGTTTGGAGTCACACTAACTTAATCTGACAGGAACATTAAACTGTTATTGCTGAGGCAAAACCTGGAATATGTGGAATTGTGAAGGAATGAATCACTCAAAACAATTCAAAAAACAAAGTCACAAACCTGTTTCATTTCAATGTTATAATGATAGGTATAAATGACTGATCAATTTCTATTGCCTGCTGGTAATAGGTATGGAACATATAAACAAACCTTATGCAGGAAAATTTTTCAACAAATTTAAATCTTATAGTTAGTGTTTTTTTTGTAGAACAGTGACAGATAACAAGTATTTATAAATTTCAGTTGTTTTGATAAGACATGAATGATGAAAAATATTTGCTAATTAAGAAAGATGTAGCTGAAATGTCAAAAAATGTAAATAATTCAAGATTTAGTGGTTTTGTACTTTTTTTTCACTTTTGTTCTTTAAAATTTTGGTATACAATAAAAATATCTTAAACAGCTGTAAGATATAAGGTGTCTTTTCCACAAGTACCTTTAGAGTTTCCTGTTCTTTGAGTGAAAGAAAGAGAAATTATATTTCAATTATTGAACATATTTCTTTGTGTGTCAGATGCATGCACAGACTTAAGAGTGATTTCAGATGCTGAAAAAAATCTTTGTGTACCTGTAGTTGGTATTTGTAGAGAAAGTAAAGGTACATTCATTTATCCTCAGTAGACCATGTGATATGACATGTGCAATAGTGGAAGAAAATGGGCTATGTATGATTATGCTCAAATTTAGATTCATGTATGTAATCTTGGAAAATGGTCATGGATATTGATGTTTGTACAATGTGAGGTAGAAATCTTACCATGAATTGTATAATGCTGTTGTTAAACTTAATATACTTTCAATTTTTTTCTAAATGAGTGGAATTTGTGCTAAATATTTGATTACATGTATCAACGTAAAGACTTATACCTAGCTTCATAAATTCTGTACAGAATACAGAATAAGAATGTGTTTGTGGTTTAATTAAATTGTCTTGAACTTCAGTTGAAAAGAGATTAAGTGTTGTTGGTCTATATCTGTCATGACGTCACCATAAAAAGTCTAGTCAATCTCAAAGGGGTTTGCTGTTATTTTAGGATCAAATTTGTCTACAACCTAAGTTCATCACCCCATGAACTTCATACAAGTTTCTGTCCTTTATTTCAATTAGGCAGATAATTAGATTTAGTTAAATCTAATGCTGCCAACTGGATGTCTGATCATTTAAGCACAAGTGAGAAATTGTCAGTAATAAAATTCCCATTGTTTGTAAGGATAGCCTGTTTCCAGTAAATAACTTTTTTATGTGTATTTTAAGTTCAAAGGTCAATGAATCCGATTTCATGTGAAAAGGAATATGGTTTCATGGATCAGTGAAGTATGAATGGAAACATTACTTGATGTGTATGAACAGATCATTTCTGTGATAGAAGGAAATGATTAATTAATTTTGGTAATTGTTTGTCTTTACTATTGACATACAGTAGATCTTTTGTTGTATTTCTTCCTTTGTCTATCTGTCACTCTTGTATTTATCTTATATCTTTCAATTACTCTGTGGGTCTACAGCATTGGTGATTGGACGTTAACTTGCAGTAGCAGTTTGTCTTGATCTATTTTGTGTATAATGATAATGAATATATTGATCTCGCATCTTTTTAGGAGACATTTATGTTTGTATGATTAAGAATTCCACCAGGAGGCTTTAATTTGATAATACCTGATGCATTGCAAAAGGCTGTACTCACAATTGTGATATTCAAACGCTTACAAGATTAATAATTTTACCAGACTGATTGTGAATATTGAGTAAAATAGTCATGGCATGGCTAAAGATGGTAGTCTCAGTTCCATTATCCTAAGATTGGAATCCCCTGTTCAATAGAAATCAAAGATATTTCATACTGATACAGACACCACTGGCTAGACTTACCCAACAATATCAGATGGTGAAGCATGATTTAATCTTTAATATGATGTGATAAATCCCCTATGAAATTCCCTCAATAATGGAAGCTTGCACTGTCATAATTTCTGAGCACAAGAGAAAATTTTCTTTATTCTGAGTAGTAGTTGAGCATTTTCTTCTCCATATTTAAATCATTAATACAGTCTTATTACTGGGTATACAACATATGCTGATTCAGGTGTTTGTTAGATCTGTAATTTATTAATTCAAAATAGATTTGCCTGTATAAATACGAAGAGATTCTTTATTTTTCATTTTGTACATCTGCTCACTCTATCTTCATTCACACCATTTTCCCCGTCTTATCTTTGAAGCATAAAATGACTAAAAATCACATTTTGATAAGTTACCTCTTTGTTCAGAGGTGAACCACGATGTCAGATATCCTATTAATTGATAATATCAATATTCTGTTGATTTAGACATTTGATATACAATAGGTCACACAACTGAACAAATAGTAATATGCTGGATTGATGTTTTAGAATACGGTATGTATTCACAGATGATGTATAATAACTTATATCGTTTAGGTACTAATGTATTAATATCCAGGGGCAAATTTTTGGAGGTTTCACAATTTTTAACTCCTTTTTTACATTAAGATATATCGGTGGGTTTTCTTAAAATATATGTTATTTGCACCATGAATTTCTCTGCAATCACGCTTTATCATATATGGGAATATGCTTGCTGAACCTTGTCATCTTAATGGTTAAAAAATAACACTGTATTAAAATCAATTTCGAATACAGTAATGTCATTAGAGAGAATTGTGATTTCATCTATTTAAGGAAAGTAAGAATAGTAATATCAGGTAGTTTGTTCAGTTTACCTTCAAGCCCAGAGACTCTGAAAATTTGTTACCGGCTTTGTGAGTTTGGACGTATCCCAGATTACTGATAGAAATATCTCCACCCAGTGATGTCCAGTATCTAAAATAGAGTAAAGGTGACATTTCTTTAATCAAGTAGTGGTCAATTCCTTCGAAACTTCCAATAGATATCAGTCCATACCCTGTACTTTTGTCTACTCTAGTCTTGATAAATCCTCAAATCTATGGCAAGTTTATATAATAGAAAAAAGAAATAATGTAAAAAGTGTTTGTATTATAACAGACAGAAAAATGAAACTCATTGTTGAATATTACATTACAATTTAGCATAATTATTTAATCAGTGAACAACACAATAGTGAACAGTACATTTTTATATTTACATATTGTAAACTTTTTATGGTGGTATCTATGAACAATGTCAGATGGAAACAATTACTATTTGGAAGTATTCTTCTTTTGTCATTGGAGGATTGTAAATAAATGTTAATGGATATACACTGTGTTTGTTTTTCTCCATCTCTAGGTATTTCAGGTGTTCATTGTTAGTATATCACAGAAATAACATTTTCAGCTGTGAGAAGAAAACATCAATGCTGAAATTGAAAATTTAAAGCGGTTTCAACTAAGTGTTTGAACTTT